GAAGCATGCAGTGTCGGAGGGGACCAAGGCGGTTAGTAGTTATGTGGCGGCCCATAAATAGTGGGAAGGCTTAATTAATTATGTTTTAGTCTGGTTGATTAGGGTTGTTTAATTTGGTATAGGTGATTAGGGGGGTAAGATGGTTTTGGACAAATGTTTTGTTGTATGGTATGATGTCTGAAACTTCTCTAGTCTGACTTTTTGTAAAACTTTGTTATCTATATCTATCTGTACTGTTTTGATACTTTGTTATCTATATCTCTATCAATATCAATATCTAGAGTGACACTGGGGGCACAATTCCAACCACACACTCTCACATTTGCTACAGTATACCGGGCTCCGTATGGGATTTTTAAAATTCCATATGAGGCCCGGTGCACTGTAATAAATGTGAGAGGGTGTGATTGGAGTTGTGGTTGGGTGTGCCCTTATCATTTTCTCAATATCTATATCTATCTATATATAACTACCTATCTATCTATATAATCTATATAATTAGGGAAAAATGTGTCCAGGCCCCAAAAGCAGAAAGTTCATGTGACCCGCCCCCTTGTATTTTGCCCCATGTGATTCAGCCCCAAATACACATTGTATTTGTGTTAAGGCCCCAAAGTACCAGATCCTGAGAAAAACCCAACAAAAGTTACAAATTTACCCTTTGATTTGATTGAGCTTGGTAACTGCGCCCATCCCTTTAACCCCATCCCATCTCTCTCTCTCTCTCTCTCTCTCTCTCTCCACTCTATCTCTCAGCTTCTCCTTCTCTCTCACTTCCGTCATGGCCGCTGAAAATGATCAGACTGAGGAGGTCGTGGAAGGCGAATGTGAGGACGGTGGTCATGGAGTCGGAGGTCGGGGAGTCATCTTAGAAACAGCTCGTGAACGCGGGTTCAACAACAAACACAGAACATGGTCCGGGGACCCGCGAGCTGACGGAGCCTGGGGCTTTGGTCTGATGCATCGTTGTTCTCCCCTTTCTAGGTTACGGAATATCTTTACCCAAATCAATGTCTTAATCAAGATAGTGCTCTTGTTTTCTTGTAATTTATGAAGGGAATCGATATTGGATTTTTGTAGTTTTTCTCTTTCATTTAATTGAAATGAGATCTCCTTGGATTCTTGAACAGCAGTTTGGGTTTTTCTTTAATGCATTTTTCTTGTGTGATTTGGTGATTGACAAAGTTTTGTATAAGAGATTAACAGCAGAAATTCAAAAGCTCACATTGAATCTTCAGACATATCGACATTTAGCTAAAAATTGAAGATAATGTGATTAAAAGTCGACTAAAGAATCTAAGAACCTGTGAATTTAAAAGGGGGGTCAAGGAAAATTAGAACTATAAATGTTAGTTCTAAGGGCTGTTATGTTAGTTCTAAGGGCTGAAGTATTAGTTCTAATGGCTAGAACTAACAAAGAGCCCAATGTTAGTTCTAAGGGCTGTTATGTTAGTTCTAAGGGCTGGAATGTTAGTTCTAATGGCTAAAACTAAAAAAATTCCCGGCTGGAATGTTAGTTCTAAGGGCTGGAATGTTAGTTCTAAGGGCTGGAATGTTAGTTCTAATGGCTAGAACTAACAAAGAGCCCAAGAGCCCCAAGGCCCAAGGCCCAATCAAAGACCTTTAAATATATATTGTAGTTGCATGGGCTTGAACTCCTAACCTCCTCTCCAAATTCCCAAGCTTTACCACTAGACCAAGTAGCCAAAGTGTTAATGTTAGTTCCACTTAAAGTTAGCTCTTACTTGCCATTAGAACTAACATAAAATAAGTTAGAACTAACATGAAAATAAGTTAGAACTAACATGAAATAAGTTAGAACTAACATGAGTTAGCTATTGATAGAGTTTAAAAAATGGCATAAATAACTAGAGTTAGCTCATGTTTGTTCTATCGAAGCTCATGTATAAATTAGAACTAACTTGTTATAAAATAGAACTAACTTGTTATAAAATAGAACTAACTTACTATAAGTTAGAACTAACTTGGGATAAATTAGAACTAATGTGGTTAAAATTAGAACTAACTTGTCATAAGATAGGACTAACTTGATATAAATTAGAGCTAACTTGTTATAAAATAGAGCTAACTTTGTATAAATTAGAACTAATTTGTTATAAAATAGAACTAACTTGGTATAATTAGAACTAACTTGGGATAAATTAGAACTAATGTGGTTAAAATTAGAACTAACTTGTTATAAGATAGGACTAACTTGGTATAAATTAGAACTAATTTGTTATAAAATAGAACTAACTTTGTATAAATTAGAACTAATTTGTTATAAAATAGAACTAACTTTGTATAAATTAGAACTAATTTGTTATAAAATAGAACTAACTTGGTATAATTAGAACTGACTTGGGATAAATTAGAACTAATATGGTTAAAATTAGAACTAACTTATTATATGAGATAGAACAAACTTTGTATAAATTAGATATAACATGGTATAAAATAGAACTAACGTGGTATAATTTAGAACTAACTTGTTATAAAATAACGCTTAATGTGGTATAAAATAGAACTAACTTGCTATAAGTTACAACTAACTTGGTATAAATTAGAAGCAACGTGGTATACACTAGAACTGACATGAACTGCGACAGAACTAACATGGTGTAGATTAGAACTAACACGCTACAGAATAGAACTAACACTGTGTAGATTAGAACTAACATGCTGCAGAATAGAACTAACACTGTGTAGATTAGAACTAACATGCTGCAGAATAGAACTAACACTGTGTAGATTAGAACTAACACGCTACAGAATAGAACTAACACTGTGTACATTAGAACTAACACGCTACAGAATAGAACTAACACTGTGCAGATTAGAACTAACACGCTACAGAATAGAACTAACACTGTGCAGATTAGAACTAACACTCTACAGAACAGAACTAACACTCTGCAAATTAGAACTAACACTCTACAGAACGGAACTAATACTGTGCAGAATAGAACTAACACTCTACAGAATAGAACTAACACTGTGCAGAATAGAACTAACACTCTACAGAATAGAACTAACACTGTGCAGATTAGAACTAACACTCTACAGAATAGAACTAACACTGTGCAGATTAGAACTAACACGCTACAGAATAGATCTAACATGGTATAGATTAGAACTAACACGCTCCAGAATAGAATTAACATTGTATAATTTAGAGATAGCTTGTTATAAAATAGAACTAACTTGTATAAATTAGAACTAACTTGGCATAAATTAGAACTAACGTGGCATAAAATTAGAACTAACATGGTATAAAATTAGAACTAACTTGTTATAAAATAGAACTAACTTTGTATAAATTAGAACTAATGTGGTTAGTTCTAATTTTTACCAGCTCGTGTTAGTTTTAATTTATTTAATGTGTTAGTTCTAGTGTTAGTTCTAACAGATATCGTGTTAGTTGTAATTTATTTAAGTCATTAGTTCTACGTAATTGTTGGGTCTAAACGCCATGTTAGTTCTATTTAATGATGTGTTAGTTCTAGCTTCTCTAGTGTTAGTTCTAACTGGTATCGTGTTAGTTCTAATTTATTTAAGTCGTTAGTTCCAGCGTAATTGTTAGGTCGATCTAAATGTCATATTACTTCTACTTGATGATGTGTTAGTTCTAGCTTCTCTAGTATCAATTCTAACAGGTATCGTGTCAGTCCTAACAGGAGCTCAACTAGAACTAATATAGCCACTAGAATTAACGCTTATATTAGAACCAACACTAGCTGGAAGTAGAACTAACATTAAATAAGTCAGAACTAAATTAGAACTAACATAGAACAACATAAAATAACATAGAACAACATAAAATAAGTTAGAACAAACATTAAATAACTTAGAACTAACATTAGAACTAACATGAATTAGAACTAAATTAGAACTAACATAAAATAAGTTAGAACTAACATTAAATAACTTAGAACTAACATGAGTTATTGCTCATGATAGAGTTCAAAAAAGGGCGGGAAATTTCCCTCTATTTTTTCCATCAGATTGCATTAATGGGCGTGACTTTCCATGTAGTTTGTGGACCAGACGTCTAGGGAAGATAAGTGGAGGGGTAATTTCGGGTTTTTTTTCAAAATACAATCTCTTTTTTTATACTGCTGACGTGGAGGGGCCTTAAAATATTAAATGGTACTTTTTGGGGCTGAATCACATGGGGCAAAATACAAGGGGGCGGGTCACATGAACATTCTGCTTTTGGGGTCTGGACACATTTTTCCCATATAATTATCTATCTATCTATATACAGAGAGATTGCTATATAATGAGAGTAAATTGGAGAAACATTTATAGAAATTTGGTGCATCCTCCAAGAAATAAATATAAAATGAATGTCACTTCAAAAAAGACAATATCTCATACAATATAACGTACGTTCATTCGAGCAGGAGTAAGTTGAATGAATATACATCGGTAGAGGGGGAAAATGCAATCACTATAATAAATAATAAAAGTATGTATATGTCCACACGGAACACACTTATTTTATAATACATATAAAAATGTTATTTTATTTATAAAGAAAATATTATTTTATTTATAAAGAATGAAATAATAGTGGCACAAATAAAAAGTATGACAAATCACGACACATATTTGTGCCATTAGATATACAATTAAATATAAGTTCATTAGATATACAATTAAATATAAGTGAAAGATACCATTAGATATACAATTAAATATAAGTTCATTAGATATACAATTAAATATAAGTGAAAGAGGCTAATAGGTCAACATGAATTGTGAGAGGATATCGATGCTCTTAAATAATAAATTTTAGATGTTAATTATGATGATCATTAGATACTTATAATTAGTGTATAAGCTAAAAAACTCTATTGCTAAATGTGTTTTGATGGGATTAATCCTAAGATGGGTGACCTTCTGGGAAAATGTAGTGTTAAACGGTTATACTCTTTATATTTTCATGGTCTAAACACAATTATGTGTCACCATTCCTGACACATGTATTTGTCGCTATTTTCGGCATATATATGTGTCGTGACACATTCACATATGTGTAGAAAAACGCTCTCTATACATGCTCTAACCACACTTTTGGTATGTGTCGCGCTCTATTTGTGCGACATAAAAATGTGTCACGTAAAGACAAAATGTATCATATATAATTTACAACTTTTGTTGTAGTGGATGGATTTTAAAGATTTTACAGGAAATGGATAAAACATCAAAATATAGTCTAGATTTTATGATAATGAGTTTTCTGTGGATGTTCTCTAACTTTCTAATGCATGTCTCATGTTATGGTGTTCAATTTCTTTAACTGGAAGTGAAATACCATCAAAATACGAGGTCTGGACTATGCCCAAACACGCGCAGTAATTAAAATTTTTATAGATATAATGTGGGGCGCATGCAAACGGTAATTAAAAACAGGCTTTTGGTATATAATTGATTTTTAATATTTATATCCAAAAAATTAGTAAATATACTAACATGATAGACCTATGATAAACAGATATACTGCTATCTAGAATCTTGGCTGTTTTTCAATCTATTTACTCGATCTAATTTGTATACTCCAGCATTTCTCTTTCTACCTTTTATAATCCAACTTATAATGGGTATTAAATTATGTGGAAACTAATTATATTTGCATGACATTAAGTGGTGTAGAAAGTTTTAGAAAAAATGAAAAAGAAAATAAGTGAATCAAACATCGCTTATAAAATTGGAACTTTACCCCCTTTAATTGCAAAGAAATGGAGGTCATGTCCTCCATTTTCATTCAAACTTTTGACCCTCACTTGGTTTTTGGTTTTCCATATTATACAAAAACCATGTTTAATTTACGTTGAAATCGATAGATTCATCTTTTTTTTAAGCAAAATCATTTACTTGCTGTTATATTTAAAATATCACACAAATTTGTACGAGAAAAAGGTCGGAAGTTTCCGTTTTACTGGACATAAAGCAGGTGTATCCTAATTAGTTATTGAAAATTAGGGTTTTTTTAATATAAGTCCACCAAGTCTTTCATATTTTGGTATTGGTCCCCCAAATCATATTTGAAATTAGTCTTCATCTCCGCTCCATCCCTAAGTTTGAAATTAGTCTACCCACAAAATCATCATATTTGAAATTAGTCTTCCTGCCCTAATTTTGTGCTCATTTATCCTCTCAATTTCTTCTCCCTTCTTTAAAATTAGGGCAAAGTTTTAAGGAAGGAGATACAGTGAGAGAAGACTAAAGCAAATCCTAACCCACCCGAATTCTGATGTTAACAGTTACCCTAATTTAAACCCTCATCCTAACATCTACCTAACCTGAACCTTTTTTTCCTTCCAAAATATGATATTACAGGGGACTTTTATCAAAATATAAAAATGTTAGAGACTAATATTGAAAAAAATTATAATTAATTAGGACATCCATGTTTTGCACGTGCTCTAGGTGGGGGTAAATGGGAAGCGTATGTCTTTTCAATCCAAAAAATTGAAAAATGTGTGACGTGCCAAACATAACAGAACGTAAAAAAAAAAGGTGGTTTTGGTAATTAAAAAAAAAAAAAAAAGATAAGACAAGAAAGGATGGTATCTATCGATTTTCAAACAATCCGATAAGATGTTTTGGGCTCTCCCAGTTCGACATAAGCCCAATATGAGCCCTTCATCCCATTGGATCTTTTATCCTTTCCAATGCATATTGAAATTTATTCAATTTTCAGTTGACAACCATCTACGAAGCGCTAGGGATGATTTCGAAGGGGGCGAAAGCTTATCCCAGACAATTTTACCTGTAATAAATACTTATTTTTACTTCCCTGGAGTTATCTGATAATAATACTTTAATTCCTTGAAATTCATGTTATATTATTATTGAAAATTTTTAGTATAATTCTTCTTTTGTTTATTTTTGTGTTAAATGCGTATTAAACATTGGCTGGTATTTAGGGTCTGTTTGGTTATTTCCTAAAAAACTAAAAAATAGAAATGAAAACCAAGAAATCTCAAAAAGTACAATTTCACATATTTTCATCCCTAAAACTCACCCACAACATCTAATAAAATATTATTTTTATCCAACAACTCATCCACCACACCTAATAAAATATTATTTTCATCCAACAACTCATCCATCACATCCACCATATCTAATAAAATATTATTTTCATCCACAACATCACTCAACTCATCTCATATCATATCTAAAAATCACTCACATCATCCAATAAGATTGTGACAACTCATCTCATCTCATTAACATTTCATTTCTTTGTTTTCCTCCCCAAAAGCTAGGAAAACAATTTTCTTAAGTGTGGGTCACATCATCCAATAATATAATGACAACTCATCTCATCTCATCTATTTTCTTATTTTTAAGAAATAACCAAACAAAAGAAAACAATCTAATATAAGAAATAGGTTTCTTATAATTCATTTTCTTATTTTTTCCGCCAACCAAACAACATCAAAACAAGTTTTCTTAAAAAATCACTCACCATCCTATAATAAGGTGACAACTCATCTCATCTCATCTCCATTTCTTTGGTTTCCTTCTTTTTTTAGCCAACCAAACAATCCCAAAACCTATTTTTCTTAGAAATAGGTTTCCTTTTCTTTGATTTCCCTCTTTTTTTTAGGCAAACAAACTTATCTGAATCCTACTCGTCTTTGCATAAGCTACATGCTAGAATGGTCATGTTTTCTATAAGGGGCTGTTTGGTTGTTTTCCGAAAAAAACAAGAAATGGAAATGTCACATTTCATTTGATATCATGACATTTCAAGAGTTTTCCCACATTTCATTTTTTGTGTTTGTTTCGCAAAGAAATCACCCCTTGAAACCGCCAAGTCACATAAAGAGACAAAAAAGCCGCAATAGTAACAGTGCATGTGTTTTCTATTTCTTGTGTTTGTTTGAACAAAAAAAAAGGGGAAAGAGAAATGGAAACATTTAAATAATCTGTTTAATTCCCATTCATTGTTCCAACAGTGCTTGTAAATATTAAAAATTCATTGAATTGGCATTTCCAAGTGTTTTCAGAGGTTTTTGTTGTGAAAACACATTTCTTAAAAATGTGATGTGGCATCCTACGTGGCGTTTCATTTCTCTAAATTTCAAAACGAACCAAACTGAAGAAATGGAAAACCCTTGAAACCAAAAACCTATGTGGCACATAGGGGATTTCTTGAAATGTGAGGTGGCGGATGTTTTCTTATTTTTTTTTTGAGCAAACAAACAGACCCTAAACCTACGTTGTTGGATTTTGATCAAATCATATGCTACTCCTTGCTCTTGCCTCTTAGGTTGATTTTGATTCCTCATTGAGTTTGAAGTAATAGCAAATGCAACCATACATCAACATTAATTGAAAGAAATATTTACAATGCAATTATACATTAATATCAAAATGAATATTTACAATAGTAGATATGAAGAAAACATCCTTCTACTAGATATCAAAGAAAGAAAAAATAATATCTTTTTAACTAAGAATAAAAAAAAAAAATAGAAAACATCCCTCTACTAAGTAACATGATTCTTCTATCAACTTTCAACCGATTTTGGGAGAACTTCAAAATGACTGGTCTTTTGCCAGCAGTCTTAATTTCCACCGAGCTTGAACTCTAAGGGGGTGTTAGTCAATTGGGACATTTTCATGCAAAATAGGATAATTGTTAAAGTGGAATAATATTTCGCTAGTGGGATATTTTAGTGGGATAACTAGGAACAATTTTGTGAAGCGGGATATTTTGATAAAATAATGTGGGATAAATTTTTATAATCATGAAGTATATATTTATGCATTTTGAAGATATAAATACTATTTATGTATTTTAAACTTACTACTATTAATTGATAATTGCTTACAAGAATGTTCGTTACTATTAAATAACTTTTGGTTAGACTATAAGATATTAACAATTATTAATGAGTTTAACAAATAAGTAAAGAAAAAAAAAAATAAATAAATAAATAAATACGAGTTCTAGTTTTTTACCACATAGTTCCAAGCTAAAACTTGGAATAATTTGGAGACTAGAACTCTCATTTTTGTATAGAAAAATAAAAAAAGTGGGATAATTTTGTACAATTATCCCAATTCTAGTTTTGTTAAAGTTCTGCTTGACTAACACTGTAAAATTTTATTCTAGTTTTAGTTCTATGTGACTAACACCTTAAAATTTTGTTCTAGATTTAGTTCTATGTGACTAACACCTTAAAATTTTATCACACTGATTATCACAGTTCTAATTTTAAGTTCTAGGTGACTAACCCCCCTTAGAGGGTCGAAATGGTCCATGCAGGCCAAAGCTATCTCTAGAGCTGAATCAAGAATTCAGGAATTTCAGCGTAAAAGAAATTCCAAAAAAAAAAAAAGTTCTAATACAAAATTTAGAAATAATAAGTGGCTAACCGTATTAATGTAGGAGCCGTCAAATAGGCTCTTCCTAGTTCCTTGCCACATGAAACTGAACAGAAAAAAAAATCCAAAATCCAGCTTATTCAGCATTTAACCAATCTTAGCAAATCAAGCACATAAATCTCGTTCAAGTTTGTTACAATAAAAACCGCGGCCCATAAAATTAGAACAGAGTGAAAAAAAATTACATGAGGATTTATATGAAAGAATCCGTGGCTCCACTTTTAATGCCGTGCCCCAAAAACTGCCAAAATTTTGAGCATCGCCTTTATTTATTTATTACATCACAATCACATTGGTTGTAACAATTAAGCATCATGAGCATGGATGATTAAGGAAAGTACAAGTCGTCCTTGTTTTTATATGTACCAGTTGATTACACTTTCGGACTAAGCTGATTTCTTCAAGCAAGAAAGCTTCACATTTTGGCTTTTTCCTTGTTTTATTTATAGGTTCTTTATACATTTCATCATCCAGTTTGAGTCTCTCCATTCTTTCTATAACTGTTCAGCCCCCCAACCCCCTCAAAAAAAAAAAAAAAAAAAAAAGGCCCTTGTTTTTATATGTACCAGTTGATTACACTTTCGGACTAAGCTGATTTCTTCAAGCAAGAAAGCTTCACATTTTGGCTTTTTCCTTGTTTTATTTATAGGTTCTTTATACATTTCATCATCCAGTTTGAGTCTCTCCATTCTTTCTATAACTGTTCAGCCCCCCAACCCCCCAAAAAAAAAAAAAAAAAAAAAAAGGCTCCCCATATCAGACCCATTTACATCTGTAGTTTTATTTTTTGCGTAACCGCGAAAACTTTGGGTAAACATTTACAAATATTCATACTTTGCATTGGTCTAAAAATGGAAAGTTCTTAGCACATTAGTGGTCTAGCACCTTAGGCCTACCTAACAAGTAAACCTTTTAGGCCGAAATTTTCAAGATGCTATTTATATGTTGCAAAAATTCTCTAGGTAAAAGGACTAAAGTGCAATAAATAAGAAAGTAAGTTATAGTCTTGCACTCTTATGTACACTTTTTAAAGTCTTCGTAAATTGCATGTTTTTCTTGATTCTGGTTCACTAGAATATCTAACGCAAATTCTAACCTCCCTTTCTATTTTTATTATCATAAACCCATGTTCGTTCTCTTCTTCTTTGCTTCTACGATTTCTCTTCCTTTTTATACTGAAAAAGAAACAATTAAAAAAATATTCTCTCAATCTCTATATATTGAGTTCATACATTCATTAACTCAACTGGGTTCTCTTTTTTTTTTCCCTCATTTAAATTAAAACTAATGGCTCATTTTTCATCATCTCATCTCCTCTTCTCCCTTCTCCTCTGTGTTCACCTGTTCTTCTTCAACCCTGCAAATGCCATCAAAATCTCTGATGGTTCTGAGCAATGGGGTTATGTTCAAGTCAGACCGAGTAAGTTGTTGTTTTTCCTTTCCTTTTCTCTTCATTTAATTTTAATTTTCACTATTCTCATGGAAATGCAGAAGCCCACATGTTCTGGTGGCTGTACCAGAGTCCACAGCGGATTGATAACGGGTCGACGCCATGGCCAACTGTGCTCTGGTTGCAGGGTGGCCCTGTAAGCATCCAATCAATTTCTTATAAAAATCCAATGGAATTTTTTTAGAGGAAATATCAAAATAATATTATTGTTAGTAATGCCAGTTACTGAATCCTGATCGTCTTTGAAAAGGGAGCTTCAGGAGTTGGGTTTGGAAACTTTGAAGAGGTCGGCCCATTGGACACTGATCTCAAGCCCAGGAGCACAACTTGGTTGCAGAAAGCTGATCTTCTCTTCGTAGTGAGTTCTCTATGCTGGAGATTTTGCATAAAACCACCGTAAAGTTTTCCATTAAAGAAAACTATCATGAACTTTTAACAGTGAACTATCTTGTTTGACGAGAGTATAAATTATATGCGGGCCAGTCTGCATATAAGCAGGGTGTTTCCAGTCAGAAAGAGCAGGGGAACAATTTTAATATTTCAACGGTCTCCTCCTCTATGGTTCAAAACACCCCGCTTCTATAAGAAATGTACCAATAAAATTTGATGATTGTCTCAATGCATTTTATCGAACTCCTATATTGCAGTTAGCTACACTTCTCAATAATTCATTATATTTTTCCGTCGACTTGAGAGCTCTTTTTTTTTCTTTCCCCTGTTGTTTTGTTAATAAGTATTTAACAAAACATTCCCAAAAGTCAACAAAAGTTCGCCAATGCATAGGAATAGAAATCACATTTGCGGTAGTTTTATGTAAAGGCCATCGAGCTTCATCATAGATTTGTGAAATTACCCTTTTTTTAGTCGGTTTCAGAGATGATCATTTTCTAAACTTTTGATAATTCCTCTTGGTGATTTCAGGACAATCCAGTAGGGACAGGATACAGCTTTGTTGAAGACGAGAGTGCGTTGGTGAGGACTGATGAAGACGCCGCAGCTGACTTAACTACATTATTGAAAGCTCTGTACAATTCAAACGCAAGACTTCAGAGTAGTCCTCTGTTTCTTGTAGCTGAATCTTATGGAGGAAAATATGCTGTGACTCTTGGGCTATCCATCGTCAAGGCTGTGAAGGCTGGAGGACTGAAGCTCAAATTTGGAGGTCGTAATTTGTTACACATATATGTTAGGGTCAATTGCAGATACGCCCCCGGTTAACTGCTTATTATTTCTAAACTATTTCATTAGCACTTAAGACCTTTTCACGTCCAGACGAAGTCATCTCCCCTTCGCGAGAGATATTTTGATATTGCAGTATAAACTGCAGAGAGACCATTACCCTCGTCTTTGAACACACGTTCCTTATAAGCACAAGTGCAAATAATGGAAAGAGAACTCTGTTTTGACTCGGGGATTCAAGCGTAAAAAATCCCTAAAAAAGGTTTGATACAAAATTACGAAATAATAAGTGGCTAACTACCCAGTTTATCTGCAATCAACCCTACATGTTATTTGTCGATTTTTTTTTTTTGATATTTGGCCTAAGATTTTGTTTTGTGATATGCAGGAGTTGCTCTAGGAGATAGTTGGATATCACCAGAAGATTTCGTAGTGAGTTATATAATTTCTTAACGACATTTTTGAATTGCAAGAGTTAATGTAGTAGTTATACCGTGATGCAGTTTTCGTGGGCTCCTCTGCTTAGAGATGTCTCTAGGCTTGAAATCAAAGGAGCAGAAGAAGCTAACAGGTTTCTATCAATTTTCTTTAATTTCACAGTGAAAAGACACAGCCATGGGTTCTCTTTGAATTCCAATTGAAATTCTTTTTTATCAGTTTGGCTGAGAAAATTAAGAAACAGATAGCAAATGGGCAGTATTTGGAGGCAACTAATACTTGGAGTGAGCTAGAAAACGTAATTAGTGAGAACTCTAATCATGTGGTAAGTGCTTTTGTTTTTTGTGTTCTTTTTTTTTTCATTTTTCGTTATAATGTCTTAAGTTAAGAGGTCGTTTGAATCCTTTATTTGGATAAAATTACATGCAGGATTTCTATAATTTCATGCTGGATTCAGGTGAAGATCCTGTATCCACTAGTACAGTCTCACTTGCGATGGGGACATCTATGAGCAAATATGCAACGTATTTGAGCTCTAAGGCCTCTTCAAATGGTGATATTAATCAACTAATGAATGGTGTCATTAAGCAGAAGCTGAAGATTATCCCCAAGGACGTAAGGTAATAAATTTTCAGTTAAACATCTTAATTATTTTTCAAAATGATGTTTGTTTGATGCTTAGGACTAGCCCAACTTGTGATCTTGCTGTTGCATGTAGCTGGGCAGCGCAGTCTAATCTTGTTTTCAGTGCATTAAGCAATGATTTCATGAAACCAAGGATTGCTGAGGTAAGACATTCATGTACTTATTTTCAAATGTATTAATTTATTTGCTAGTGAATTTTCAGTTAATTAAATTATGGTCATCTACAGGTTGATGAGCTTTTGTCTCAGGGAGTCAACGTCACTATCTATAACGGACAGGTATATTATATCTAGAAGAATATTTGCTCAATTTTGTTCCCCCTAACTAAAGGTGTTATTACTCTCTGTCTTTTCTTGTGACTGCTAATGTTAGGCTTGGAAATATTTTACAAACAACTTGTAGAATTATTTTATACTAATTAAAGGAAGGAGACGGTGAAGACTAAAATGCTCCTACTTAATTATCTCCCACTTATACTCTTTGTCCACTATAATATGAGCTTAAAGAAATGAGAGATTATTTGACACATCTCCCAATCTTATTTAATATTAAAGGCATGTAATATGGAATTTGTTAACTATGGTTGGATTGCTTGACAAATCTCAAATTACTTTATAATCCATGTCACCTAACGTAGAACCAAACTCTATTATCCTTGTGTTGGCGTGCATGAACCATAAGCAAAAATAGAGAAAAAGATTCCAGCTTTATGAGGTCCACCAAAGATTATTGTCATAACTTTCTAGCTTTATGGCTCTCTGAATTCTGATCCTGTGATCATTATTCCATCACCGTAATTTGCAACACTTCACATGTTCAGCAAGCTGTGCTATCTTTTAATTGAAGACAACAAAAAAGACTTTCTAAGATATGTAACTTTTTAATAACGATGTTGGTGACAAGCAAATGACTTGTCTCAGAATCTGGTGGTACCTAGCTATGATGAAAATATCATCACCATGTGTTAATAGAAATGCATTTCCTAAACAAAGAAATCGTTAAGAAAAATGATGCGTGCAGTCCATAAACTGATTATATATGATGCTTTGATCCTATGACGTACCTTCAGTTTTTCTTTCCTGTAGGTTGATCTGATTTGTGCAACCAAAGGTACAGAAGCCTGGGTTCAGAAACTCAAGTGAGAATCCTAGCTAATTAATTTTCACTTTTCTAATTTTGGCCCTTCATGTTGCTTAAGGGACAGAATTGAACTTCCATAAACTGATTATATATGATGCTTTGATCCTATGACGTACCTTCAGTTTTTCTTTCCTGTAGGTTGATCTGATTTGTGCAACCAAAGGTACAGAAGCCTGGGTTCAGAAACTCAAGTGAGAATCCTAGCTAATTAATTTTCACTTTTCTAATTTTGGCCCTTCATGTTGCTTAAGGGACAGAATTGAACTTCTGTTGATTGCTTCTTTCAGATGGCCAGGGCTACAAAATTTCACCAACTTAGAAAGAACACCTATACATTGTGAAGGTATTAAAGGCACCAGAGGCTTTGTCAAGTCCTATCAGAATTTGCATTTCTATTGGATCATTGGAGCAGGTCATTTTGTAAGTATCTTTCACCATTTTATACCGCATCGCCATCTCTCTAAGAGGGAGGGAGGGAATAATTGTCACATTAATGTGATATCTTAAAACTAGAAGGGGCTGTTAAGAAACTTCCAAGCAAAGACATCACTTAAGCAAACTGTACAATCCTTTCTTAAGATTATTCAACTTCTGATAGCTGAAATCCCTATCATGAATTAAAATTTACTTGCAAGCAAAGACATCACTTTGGTGATTTATACGTAAATCCTCTACTTCTTCCCTAGACTTGCCATGATTTTCCTGCACTCACAAGTCACGGATTCCGGTGACTCAAACTGCTCTCAACCACCAAGGTCATGAGCACCATCCGAGCTTTAGGGTGTTCCATGCAAACCTCAAAGTCCGGCGTTTTCAATGAAATTTACTCCTACGGTAATATGACAGATGTTTTTATTAAGGTACATAGGGACAAAATCGTCCAAAACATACTGCACAGCACGCGACAACTTAAGCTAACTGCCACCGGACATTGTACATTAGTGAGACAAGTTCAGGGTTTTCTTCTCTCAGTTATAAACTTTTAGAGGGTTTTCTGCCCAAAACCCAAATCGCAGAGGGGCTTCTGTGAAATATATACCCTTCGTTAAAGGGTAGAATTAGAGTTACAGTTATAATTATGTTCCTTAAAATTGTATTTTTGCAACTCAGTTAAAGTTCCCCCCAAACAAAGCGATATCCTTGTGCCTTAAAATAGCTATTCAATTGGAGAAGAAAAGGCTAACGAAGGACAAAATGTTGAGTGGTGGAATGTTTGATACGTGGTTTTGGCTTTGTGCAGGTGCCACTGGACAACCCTTGTGTAGCATTAAAGATGCTCGGTGACCTTACTCAATCTCCTGCAGCACCTGCTGCCGTCACTTCCTTCTCATAATAGATTCACTCAGAAAACCATCAAATTGTTCCCCATCAATAAATTGGGCTAAAGCCCTTATTTCCCCACAAAAGAAGAAAAATCATCAGATTATCCCCTCCTCTCCTGCAAGCTACCCAGTATTTGCATTGAGTAAAGCAATTGACTAGTTTTCTTGTAATTATTGCTTTTTGGGTGTTATTTTAGTACGGCAGTGTAAGGGAAGAGTGGTTGACTGAGAAGAACATAAATATATGACTGTTGGATGAGTTGTACACATATTCATTCAAAAAAAAAAAAAAAGAGAGGAGAACAATAAATGTTAGGGATTCACTAGAGTCGGTACATCACGATAGGTTCAGTTTGTAGATTTGATTTTGACTTTGCTTTTGTGTCCATATCTTGGTTTGGGAGAGAAAAATCCATGAAGGGTATGGCATGAATGCAAATCCCATCAGAATACTTTCCATGCCGGAATTGTTCAGATGCTCATCTAAGGTACTGTTTCGTTTGTTTTACCAAAAAGACATAAAATCTATTTCTTAACTTGTGAAATCTATTTCAGAGGTTTTGGGACTAAAATGAGCTTCATGAAAAAGCTGACCTCTTTTTTGCATAAATTATCATACCAACCAAACGTAAGAAATGTAAACGCTTTTTTTGGCTTGAGATTTCCAACGGTGATGTGACAAGCATGGAAAACCATTTCATCCTTTTACATGCAAACCAAACAGCCCCTAATTTGAAGGATTGAATCCTAACAGAATACCTAGTTTCTCAGCTTTCCAATCTGGACCGTTGTAAAACACTTCTGGTATGAAAAATGTTCTAATACAATTCAGAGTGCACGTGAAATTTTGACTACAAAAGAGGGAGTTGTTCACAAAAGAACATGAGATTGAAAATTACACATTTATGTCACTCGAATCATAAGAGAAAAAGACCTATGCAGGGCCCTCTATAGACAATCATATGAAGGCGAAAGTGACGTGTCCGATACAAATCTTATAGTTAATACTTAGTAAAGAAGAATGCCACACATGCCACCAAAAATCTTAAAAAATTTAATGTTACTAAACACCAACTTTAGGATTTGTGTTTAGGACATGTCTCAAGTCCTTACTCTCCATTTGATTTCTATAAGGACCCGTCTCTGGTCAGTCGACCGGCAGAGGCATGTCGGTCGACCGGCAGAGGCATGTCGGTCGACCGACGGGTTTCCTGGGCCGAACTGGACTCCTGTTTGATGCGAATTCCAAGTTATGTTGAGCTTGGTTATTTACGATTTTGCCATCCACGTTGTTTAACCTATAAATAGGGATTGTTTAGTGTTTCTAAACATCAGAGGAGAGATTCTAATGATCAGATTAGAGTTTAAAAGAGGATAGAGAAGTTCTTTATTCTAGAGAGATTGTGAAGGAGAGATTTTGTAATATTTTATTCTTCATAATCTAGAGAAGGTATTTCTCTTCGCCAATTAAATTGTTTTGTGTGTTTTACTATTTTCTTCTCAAAACCCATCTTTGATAATTTCGCGATCAAAGGTGCTCGCTCGGCGACTCGTATTAAGTTGATATCAGAGCGATCAGGTCATGTAAAGGGGTATCATGTGTATGGTCCTTACTCGATCGCAATACAAAAAGCTAGGCGAGATTTTTATTTCTTTGGAAGAAGTCCAGAAATCAAGGAAGAAGATGATGACAGAAAGCGATAATTCATCGAGACTTGATGCGATGGAAAAATAGATCGAGACAATCAGTTCGACTCTCATGAAGCTCGTCGATCTCATCCACGAAGGCGAAAAGAAAGGTGAATCTTCAGCGGGGCCCAAGAAGAAACCTAAAGAATCCGATAGAGGTAGTGAGAATTCAGATTCCGACGAGGATGTCGAGGCCATCAAGACTGTTCCGCAACAATGGGGTAAGAGTTCTTACCAGAATCTGAAGATTGGTTTTAGAGTTGAGATTCCTGTTTATGATGAGAGTGTCAACGTTGAAAGGCTTGATGATTGGATCGAACGTATGGACACCTATTTCACTCTTTATGGCTATTCGTCAAATGAGAAGATTGTTTTTGCGATATTGAAGCTTTCTGGACACGCGTTAACGTGGTGAAAATCCTATTGCAAACAAGAGAAAAAATCAGTGTCGTGAAACATGTTCAAGGAGCTACTGTGGAAGCAGTTGTATCCGGTGGGATTCCTTGAAGAACGTTGGTACTAGTAGTACGGCTTGCGCCAAAGATTCAATTAAACCGTTAAATAATACACTACAGAGTTTCAGCAGCAAGCGATGGTCCTCAACATTGCGACGAAGGAGTACTTTGTTTTTATGAAGTATATGACGGGATTGAACGAATACATCCGGAAGGAGATGAAGCTATTCACGGTAGAGTTAATTGCGGAGGCAAGCATGAAGGCTATTGCCATTGAAGGTAAGCAGAAGAAGAGCAACGAGACGAATGAAGATGCCAAACAAGCTGGAGGCAAGTCTAGTGGCTCCCAACCTAAGGAGGAGAAGAAGAAGGGTGATCCAGGGAAAACAGGATTGACTTGTAATCACTGCAGCGAGTGTATCTTTTCTCTGTTTCGAGAACTTAGCAATCCTCATGAGAGCTTGAGGATAGATGATTATCATGATAGCTTGAGAATAGAAGCGTGAGTGGAGCCGTTGGTGACGGCAAAAACAGTCAAAGTCAAGAAAACGACAAGGAAACAGGAAGCTGACGAAGCACTCTGACCGGTCGATTGAAGAAGCAAAACCGATCAACCGAATGATCAGCATCGGTCGACCGAAAACGGACACAACTACAGAGCAGAAAAACCTGTCTCTGGCCGGTCGACCGACGGGTTTCCTGGGTCGAACTGGACTCCTGTTTGACGTGAATTCCAAGTTGTGTTGGGTTTGGTTATTTACGATTTTGCCATCCATGTTGTTTAACCTATAAATAGGGATTCTTTAGGGTTTCTAAACATCAGAGGAGAGATCCTAATGATCAGATTAGAGTTTAAAGAGGATAAAGAAATTGTTTTTTATTCTAGAGAGATTGTGAGAGAGATTTTGTAATCTTTTATTCCTCATAATCTAGAAAAGGCATTTCCCTTCGCCAATTGAATTGTTTTGTGTGTTTTACTATTTTCTTCTCAAAACCCACCTTTGATAATTCCACGATCAAAGGTGCTCGCTCGGCGACTCGTATCACGGATACATATAAATTATGATTAAGATGAGATTTTTACTATAAAACTTGCTAATGTCTCCATTAGACTAGATAACGAGTGAGGGAAAAAAGAAGAAAGACTTCACCCGCTGGAAAATACTCTAGAAGATATTCCCATTATCTCACAATCAATATGATTCCAATCTAGTTCATTAAGGGGAAAAAATTAGATTCACATGAAGAGGTTATCAAGTATCAGACGAACAAATAAATAATTGATTAACAAAGTATAAATAATTTCTTTTGAATGAAAATTACAAGCATAGTGCAGCTCCATGCTATAAAAGTAAAGTTATGATAGAAAAGTATGAAAGCAAAAATTAGACCATCAGGATCTCTAAGTACCATCTAGCCATCCACAGTATTTATTCAAATATAGGGAGATCATATGACCTTTTTCCTTGAAGATTATTTTCCAAATCCAACTCTGATGTAGAGGTGTTTTTGGAGCTCTTCTCATGACTACCCTCTTTCCTCATCTTTAAGAAGAAAGTATGCCTGCAAACAAAGGGAATATGCTAACGCAATCAAAGAATTTTCATCTAATTTATACTGCAATGTTCACTGGCTTTATCATACCATCTAGCATCAGAAGTCAGTTCAGGGTGAAAAGCAGTTGCTAGTATGTTTCCTTGCCTTAATGCAACAATCACTTTTGCATCAGCAGCTGGGTTTTCCTGTTCAATACACAATCAGGATTAAGTGATGCGATATCAGTAATGATTTTCTTTAGAGCAATTGATCGTCATATGTGTAATGATTTTAGAAGCTAACTAAAGTGATCAATTGACTGAGATGGTTTGGCCACGTGCTCCGAAGGCCACAAGGTGCATCAATTAAAAGAAGTGATAAGATTATAATTCACGGAATGAAGAGGATCAGAGGTAGACCTAAGAGAATCCGGTTAGAAGCAATTAAAAGGGATATAATGCTAGTTAACTTAGCAGACCCTTTATTCATTTATTGTTAAGTAAAAAGAAGAAAGGCATGAATTATTGGATAATACCATCAAGGATTTCGGTGAAAAGATAAAATAGAGTTAAATGTTGTTTTCCAGTATGAGTAAATTGTAATTTTTTGTTTCATTTCCACTAGGAAACTGCCTTAATGACTAAATTATTACTCACAACCGCAATCAATTGTCATGAGACTCGGCACATTTATGTGAAGCATCCAATTTCAATTGATACTTGCATATCACTTTCTAAAACTTCGCCTACAAATATGGCTTATGCCTTAAGAGTTGAATGCTACTCCCATACAAACCTACTTTCCTCTTCTTTAGACCTTTTCCACAATATATGTCCCTCTACTCTCATAGCTTCCTCGGCTAGGAATTTGGCACTAATAAAGAAAGTGAAGATGATCAGCCAGCGAACAGTTGTAAAACATCGTCAATTTTTTGTAGTGTTGCTACAAAGATGACCAAGTTTTGATGGAAATACACTTAGATGATGATAATGATAATTGAGACAACACAGCTCTTTGTGGCCAGGGCATATACACGGAAGACTCGATATAAAAGTTTAAGTGCTCCAACAAAATCTGAAACTGTCCATCTATCTATAAAATTACACCACTGCTGAAAACGTCATTTTTCCTTGAGTATAGCATCATACAAATTGCAATGATTTTTTTAACATATATTTTTACACATTTCATGATGAGAGGAACTCAAAAAGAGTGTTATACAGCTACACTGGACACAAAAATAGCATGAGGGAGTCAAATACTTGAGCAATGTTTCAATGTCAAATGACTATGTTGATAGTACAGTGAACATGATTCAGTTAATAAAGGCTTCAGTTATATATTTGCACCTTACCAAATACCCTTTTGTGCTCGTCCTAGTGTTACTTCTAGATTTACCGAAGTTCACTTCCAAAAGTAAGTTATATCTCAATTGCTCATTGGAGGTCTATAATATGTTTGATAACCAGTTAAGTAATAAATCATCATGCATACAGATAGCTAGACCAAGGAGCAAGTATCACCAATTTACCAAAAGTAATGAAACCAATCCCTTAATATGAACAAGGTTCATAGAAATGTCAATATTACTATCATCTGTTTAAGCTGAAGTTAAGAGAACCTGACTAATTGATTTTTTAGAAAAGGAATTGTACAAACTAAAAAGATGATTTAGTTGTTCATGGTTATTAAATGACCATGATAAAAGATCAAACCTCCTTTCTTTCAACAGCTGGGGTCAGGCTTGACAGTTTGTCTGAGGGTACAGGATAATCAGCAAGTACTTCGACATCAGGTCCTGCTTCTAATACAGCTGGTGCACGTATAAACACTGCACGGAAGGTATCGGGGCCTCCTTCATTTTGTGCAAGCTTAGGAACTGCAAGGTTGGCTTCAAAGCTCTGAAGCTGCAAAAATTTCAAAACATGTGGACAAGCAATCAATCAAAATGCACTCGACTTTCCTCAACAGATAAAAAAGGAACACCAATATATGGCATGACGTTAAGTTCAGATTGTTGTACCTGACTACCAAAGAAATTCCTATGAACAGTACAGTCAAGACCCCCAATGAACTCCTGCCCTCCTGACTTTTGCCCTAAAAAGTTTAATTACATTACTTCTGGAGTCGGATATTTTGACTACTTGAACCCCGAAAAGATAAGTTGCAGTTCAGAATAATTACCGATGGCCTTGTTTGCTAGGAAAATAAGTCCTGCACAAGTCCCCCACACGGGTTTCCCTGCATTAACAAACTCTCGCAAGGCGGGAAACTGCAAATTGAATAGATTGAAATGCTAAGCGTCAATTCAAATGAACACCATAGTTTTGCTTACAAGCAGTAGTAAAAACAGCATCACTAAGAGAGTAACTTCTAGAAATCCAATGCCTTTTTTGTCTATATTTGTTGTAGCAGATATTTGATGTCAATGTCGAACTCCATAATACAACAAATTTTACGACCATTTTGCACATGATGAGCATTGAATTCAATTGAGAAATGGGAAATAAACCACACATTTTCCATTTTCTGAGCTAGTGCATCATTACATTTCACAAATGCCTTGCAAAGGCATCAATGGAAGTGATAACGAAGCTCCCATAAACATTCAAAGAATAACAGAAAAATAGAATAACTTAGAAACGTAGATGAAAGGAAGCATTTTCTCTGAAGAGCTAAAAGAGGAAAAAGGATATTGTCTTACGAATAGCATCCCAGATCAGTATAGAAATAAGCCTAAGGATAGTAATCCTACTATCATTTTGGATTGGTTACAATTACAAAACTACTTTTCCAGTAACAGTTAATGATATATATGGGAGTCAATATAGCACCCGACCAAACTTTCTGGATCATTATTCTAAGGGTTCCCATACAAAAAGGAAAATAGGTCCAATCCAAAGATTTTCACCTTAAATGAACTGAGATTTTCATCTAAGGCCTAAAGCTACCGCTAAACCCAGGCCTGTTGGTACGTAAACAGGAAAGTCCATGGTAGTTTTATAATTTAGACTTTTAATTAATAACAAAGAGCCTAGGCTGGAGAGCATCTCGATATTTTCAATTAAGAAGAATACAAATAATGGTCAACTTAATTGAGGAAATGTTCCTTAATATTGTGGAATTGAAGGAAATAGTTGATATAGCTGGCCAATAAATTTTGTGATAATGTTTTAATGATTTTGTATCTAATATGCAAGTGCCGTATTAATAAAAAATATATAAACAAATAGAACACCCAATTTTAAAAAAACTTGTATTTATTACTAAATAAAGGTTCGACGTTCATCGAACGGTAATTTAACTATCCAGTTTACCTAATAGGAATGCCCCCTCTAAATGTATTAAGGAATGTGAACGAAAAAAGTACACCGAGGATTGTCTACTTATTCTTTATAAAAGTTTAAGCATTGCATTTAAAAATTCAAGTTTCTTCGGAAATAACAAGGGTTAATTGCAGATGCACCTATACATAAGTGCTTAGCTTATTACCTTTGAACCTTTTGATTAGTAATAGGACCCCGATGTCTGGATGGAGTCATCTTATGTATATGTATGTGTGTACCTAACCACACACACATATATGTATATATACTTATATACATATGTTTCTGTGTGGGGGTGTGTGTGCATTTTTTCTCTTGTTCTTTTTTTCTTCCTTTCTTTTTATTTTGTTTTGGGG